AAAGAGGATGCGCAGCGGGGGTGACCTTGACTGTGAAACGATTGACAGACCGTGTCGATACAGTGCTTCTGTAGGTCGTCCCGATGTCTAGGTGTAGTTATTCTTGCTGACTCGTCGTCAGACATCCAATTCACCTCAGTATGTGGCAGCCAATGGCCAGGCTACAGAGGCTTCACGTATCATTCCGTTTCAGCCCTCGGGCAACATGAGCATGCCCGTTCTTCACCCGTACAACCATCCTTCGCCGCAACAGCGTTTATACCACGCTGAAGGCCGTGAGCACGACGAGGCCGTGCGAATACGCTATACCGACGCCACTGGCCGTTCTTCGCAGTAGCCACATGGCGAACGCCAATTTCACCGTCCCGGCCGCTCACATTCACGTTCAGGTTCTAACTCTCGGCTCTCCCTCTCGCTCACGTAGCCAGGACAGTTCAATCGGTTTCGAGGAGACGCTGTTGAAGGCTACGACAGGCGACGACTCTGATCGCCACCTCGATGGTGCGCCCGCCACCCTCGCCCATCCGCACACTCAGTCGCTCCCGCACCGGGCAGCTCTGGCATCTCGCCTATCCCTGGACACAGTGCAGGCGGAAATGGAGTGGGTGCACTGTAGCCACTTCCTGCAGCTGCCCAGGTGCAGATGTATTAGAGGCACGTCTTTGCATCGCCGGTGGCTGGTGCCCCTGCGAAGAAGAGCAAATTGGGGAGCTTTGGTTAGGTCAACAGAACGCACTGAGTAGTACTCGGTGTGATTTCTCCCTCTTCTTCTGCTCTGTCCCATGGAGATTCGAGTTGTACTCGTTGATCCAATTCCTTCGCTACTTCTCTCCGTTCTTCCCAGCAACCAGGCTTAGTGTATGGTATTTACCCTTTTCACGTTCTTACCCCAGTAGTGTATGAACAGTTAGCCTCATTTATAAGGTAGTAAAACTCTGTCAGCTTTCAACACCATGTTAATGTTGAATTAGCTTGCGTCGTCCTTGTCACACATTCTCCGAGAACGGCTAGGGCTGCGAGTAGAAGAACAGAACAAAGTCGACATGGATATATGTGATTCGCGGTCACGTGACATTTCGCGCATACCTGTCGCGCGATTACCAGACGGCGATGACGCGTCCATTTCTAGAAGGACGTTTGACAGCAGCCTTGCCTGTTTCGCAATTGCACGTGGGTCCTCTCTTGCTCGTTTACATTCACTGTCGCATACATCCAGCTCACGCGATGTCTTCTTATCTGTCCAAGGTCAAAATCGTTCGTGCAGCGGTAGATCAAGCCCGCAATGCCCTACTCTCTCTCCGCAAAGAAGACATAAATGGGAACCAGACGAACTTGTCCATCGTGCCGCTCTCAAGATCGACATTGCAGCGTTTGTTACGCTCGCACGCGACTATGACTTATTGCCTCCTCCGAGCAGAGATACCGGTCTCTCAGACGTTCACAAAGTCATTGTCGATGACGGATCGACCGACATTGTCAAAGTTGACGCGTTGTTTGACGAACGGGTTTCGTCACGGGCACAACCAGTTGCTCGCGATGATGTTCATGGTGCGTCATGGTTTCCTGATGTTCTTCACATCTTGTTCTCACATAATCTCACCTTTCGTGTTGTACAGGTCGTGTAGCGCGGGACAGCATCCATCGCGTGCCATCTGGCGTCACGGCTTCATCAAGTTCCCCGCATATAACCCGTCAAAGCTCATCTTCTGGTCAACTGCTCAGACGGCTGTCTCGGTACGAAGATGCTCGGGAAAGCGAAGGCTGTACCTCTAATATTTCTGTGCATATCGACTCCAACAACCACGACGTCAGTATCACTATGCAGCGGGTTGAAGACATCGAACGTAATGAAAATAGAACGACCACTGAAAGTCCTCCGAGCAACGGTGAAAGTGAGATGTCGATACCCAATGATGACGAAAGCAATCCTCAGGAGGTAGAGAAGGACACAGAAGAGCACGAAGATGCTGAGGGTGACGATGGCGACAACGCGGAATGTGATGATGAGGACGGGGATAAAGAAGAGGACGAGCATACCGATGACAAGGAACAGGACGAAGACGAAGATGAGGAGGATGAGATCGAGCATGAGCTGACCAGTAGCAATCGTAAAGACAAGACAAACAAACTCACGCATAACGTAGTTGCCAAATCTTCGCGCTATCATCAGAAAGTAAGCATTTGTCTCGTTGTTAAGGCTTATTTATTGATATGCTTCACAGCAGAATGCACACGCTAGGCGAATTCAGGAACTAATGGTCGACTTCTTGGCTCTCCCTCGCACGAAACCTCTCCAACCAGTCAACTTCAGAGACGTCATCATGAGTGAACCCAATGGCATTCGACCAACTTTGGATAGGCAAGGTTATCAGCGCATCGTTGCTGGAATATTTTGGACCAACAAAAAGGGCTGGGTACTAAATTTGCGTTTCATTTTTGTTTTTGTGTTTCTCATTGGTCATTTTTAAGGAGCGACTTTTCGAGGGACCTGCGTGGCATGACACATCAAATGCATTGCAGCATGCTCGTCAATCAATCAAGGTGGCATCTGTGTCGAGCGTAGTCGACAGGTTGACCTGTCGCGCTGAAGTATGAATCTATCATTCATATATGTTCTACCTGATCACGTTCCGTGTAGTTGATCCACAGTTCGCGTCACACAAGCACAGCACAGCTCTTTCTTCATCGACTGCTGGCAAAGATCGACATTATCAAGTGGGCCGTAGACTACGCGGCTTTAGACAATTCATCCAAGATGCCTTTGTTGCGCCAGATATTCAAAGCTCAACATCCTCATTTGTTTTCCGATGTTTCAGACAAAGATCCATGGCATTCGGCTAAGCCCCAGTTCATGCAGTGGCAGAAGCACATGGCGAACGAAATAACCATGTATAATCGTATGCTGGAGATGTACACCCATGTGAGTAAATTGTTAGCGTGTACGCGTAGTATTTGAATCATTTATTGCAGTTCGGTTCAATCATCCTAATGGATCCTGTGTGGAGCGAGAACGCGTTGCGATCTCACAGTCATTCCACCGTGCACTCGGCGATGCTGCAACTTTCTCAGCATATGGCCGCAACCATCCAATTCAATGGACATTCTTATCACGGTCTATCGCCCCTGCAACCCGCGATCGAACAGTCGCTGTTGGCTATCACGGAGATTCTTGCTGGTCCATTCGTTGCGCAATATGTTTACGAATTCATGGATCACATGCAGGAATCATTAATTATCGATCCGTGGCCGGGTTTTGACAAGCACTCCATGATTATATGAGTATATTCTACGCTACGTTCCTCATCTTGTCGCTCTTCCTGTATCCTAAATTCAAATTGGCATGCGTAGCGCTATAGCGATAACAGCGCGAATCAATTTTTGTTGAAAATTCTAAATCTTTCATCAAAACCACGTCCTATCACTTAGCGTCGCCGCACGCTCGATCATGAAGTATGTATCGGTCGACGAGCCGAATTTTGAAAGATCATTACGCGGCAATATACGTCTGCTTCGAGCGGTAAAAGAGCAATTACAATTGTGAAACCACGCCAAATTCGTACACAGCTCACTCATGAACGAAGAGCAGTGCAAACGCAATGTTATTCGAACAGAACGAGCAAATATTACGCGCTAGTAAATTCGTGCAAGCCTGTCATGCCTGTAATGTCCTTTGAGCCCGTTCCATGAGCGCTCCTGTCGGTCGCCTCGCGTTCGCATGTCGTGTATCGTCCTCTACCCACTCATTCTTGTCTGTAACCCTCTGTCGATATTTCTCAATTACTTCCGGTCAAAGAAATCTAGGTGAGTGATGGATTGTTTGCGTCACGCTGGCTACCACTAACTCATCCGCCTTCAGCGCTTCTCACTCCCCGTTCGGGGAGTCTTGCACCTCCCTCCTCCTCCTCTCCTCTCGATCTCATCCTACACATATCTCAATCGTTCTATGGCCTCGCATATGCCACTCGATGGAGAACGCTTTCGTTGGAGGGTGAGCCGTAGAAGCGAGGATGGTGCGAGGAGTTTCGATGGTAGGATTTGGCCTTTGGGTGAGTGCCACGTTCAAGATATCCATGCTAACCGTTTTTTTATCTTTATCGGACTGCACAAGCGAACGCACCGAGTTGTACTCGGTGTGATTTCTCCCTCTTTCTTACGCATCTACCCTGTGGACATTCGAGTTGTACTCGGAATCCCACGTTCTCATGACTTGTCCTATCTGCACACACCGTTCCTGTGCATTCGTCACTACGGCCTACCGCATGCACCGAGTGAATGCAAGGTGAGTGTCCATATTCGTTCGACCGTAAAGTATTACGGTACTGTGTTCCCATTTATTTACTACTGCGACACGAACGTGTCGTCTACGTTTCAAGAGTTCGGTATCTCTTCGTCTTCCTCCAGTGGTTGCTTCCATACGAAATGGTTAGGATTGTCTTCTCTGGGCACTGCGGTTTGTGAGCAAGCCATATCCGCGCCATGGAGGGGTTCCCACTGTATATGGTGCCGTCTCTTATGAAAATTTATACTTACCATTGCTTCTGGTCGTTACTGTCAATTATATCATACGGTCACTTCCGGTCTCTTTCGTATCACAGTATGGCATGAGTTTATCTTGTTGAATCTTCTTCGTTGTGTTTATGTGCTTTAACAAATTCGTACTTTCGGCAATAATCAATTGTCAATTCATTTCAATCGTTATTCATAAATGGATCGCATTGCTAACACTCTCGTAGTATTATACATGAATACGGCTCGATATATGCTCGCAATCAACATCAATGAACACATATTTTGCGAAACAGACGCTTGTATGCGAGGATGAATTCCAGATGGTTGGGGAGCTGGTCTGCATTATGTGCGGTTTCTCTAAGCCACTCTTTGAAGCCGATAAGCGTTTTCCATCTCAACCGAGGCACGCCGAGCTTATCTGAAATTATGTACAGCATGTCATCATGACCCTTGCCATTTAGTCGGCAGCACCATATCAACGCGATAAGTCGTAAGGTAATGAGAGGACACTCGCTGTACGGGCATTTCGATTCATCAACAGTTTTACCCTTGGCATGCAGTGGATGGTTGCACGGATGACGAAATGGAATCCAGCACTTAAAACAGAATGGCCAGTTGACGTGTACCGGGAATTGTATGCATCGCAGCGATGCCACGATCACATTCATCTTGTGTTCATCATTGTGCTTGTGGCTCTCCATTCTTCGGCCTTCGTTCTCGAACCAGCATGCCACACAACCGTTTCCACGGATGGATTCGAACATCTCCACCAGCTCTTCAAGCTTGTAAAGTCCTTCAGCCTTTTCTGTCCGTAGTCGATCACCGCTGGTTGTGGGCTTTGCGGCTATGGGGATAGGCTCTAACACCTCTAGTTTCCCTTCGTATACCATCGTAGGAATCATCGATACAGTCTCGTCCTACCCAGTATTCGTCAGTTCAGGATATGTGCTAAAGCAATTTACTTACTAGTTGCATCGTCAGGCAGTTATCGCATTTTTCTGCTTTCGAACCCAACGCCCCACAAGAGTGGACATCTTCATCGACACCATGAAATGCCAGGCATCGGCAACCGTTGGTGACGAGAAATTCTGTCATTTCCGGTAATCCTCCAAAACTGTCCATCTCCGGGTCGCGATTAATGGGTAATCTGGTATGGATGATGTACGTCCAACCCCTCTGTCCGCCCTTGGTCCTAAGTCGACCCGCTTGCTGATCAAAATCAGCTAACCAGTTGGCTTCGATTAGTACGACCACGACGACATGGTCACTGTCGATTCCAGCCGAAAATGCGCTTGTGCAACACAACCAATGATTCTTCTCGTCTGTCCCCTCCTCCCAGGTCCTGACGATGTCGTCTTTTCGCCTGTCATTCGCACTCGTATCTCCTTCGATTACGTTGGCGATATAATAGTCACATCCAATTTCCGCTGCGTAGTCCTTGGCCCTATCGCAGTATGTGAAGTATATCAGGCCCCTCTCGTTCGCCCCCATCGGATGTCTGGCCATGACAGCATGCAACTGTTGTAATACATTATTGTCTATGCTGCTTGATTCCGCTGGCTTAGGTTTGACCCGTACCACGTTGTACGCTATCGTAGGTCGGGCGATGGAGGTCCGTATGACTCTCAGTTCTTTGTGATCGATGCCGATCTTGGCACAGAGGCGTGGCACGGCGCACGGATAGACTGAAGCTGACAGCAGAGTGATTGGTTTTGCCAGGCGGGTCAAATTCTTGAGAAGGTCCATGCAATGTCTGAATCCCTCATGGAAAAGTATATAATGTGCTTCGTCGAGAAAAATGCGAGACAGTCTGTAGTTGTACGATTCAGCCCATATGAAAAAATCGTGAGTGGTAGCTGTGTCGATTGGCGCAAGCACGATCTGCAATGAACTTCCGTCTAATCCAGGCATCCATCTCGCCCATTTCAAGGTCGAGTTGCCGAGTCTCTTCGCGATATCGTTGGTCAAAGCTCTCAAAGGTGCGACGACGATATACATGAGAGATGGAAAAAGTTTTGGCGGTCCCAGAAATGACATGCTCTTCCCGCAACCAGTTGGTAAAACGGCCAGAACGTGTTCATTACCCAGAGATGATTGCACTAGTTCACCTTGTTGTGGGATTGTCCATTGTGGCCTGCTTGAGCGTGGAAACAGGACGTGGAGCGAATTGTGCAGAGTAGGATCGACCGTGAGCGGCTTCGTCATAGGTTTTTGTACAGGCTGGCAGCCTTGTACTGCGGTAATATACTCGAGTAAGCGGATGTTCTGGCCGTTGAGGTATGTAACAAACGTATCGACGATGTTCCTAGTCAATCCCGACTGAAATCGTTGTAGCTCGGTCTTCAACACGTTCGCAAGCAGTATCACGATTCGTGTGAAGACTTCCTCTTCCTGTTCGTCTGATGTTGCTGATTGCAACTGCTGTGAGAAGTTGGAGTGTAGTTGATCGAGTTTTGCATGATAACGTATCGATACAGACTGCATGGAGGCTACAACCGTGTGAGATACTCCTTCCAAGGCGTCGTTTTTCTGAAGCCCATAATGTTTATTGGCGACCTTTACGCTATGACCGAATTGGCGATGTATAGCGTGCAAGTCGTCATCTTCATCGTCCGGCTCTCCAAAATCGACATGAACGATGTTGACAAGGATGCTGCACATAACCTGACGCCAGTCTCTGAGTCTTAGCGGTATACCCAGCAGACGCTCTGTATGGAAACCCAGACAGCGAGACTGTCTTTCACTGTCCATAATCCGCCCACTCTGAACGAATATATATTCATTGTATCGCTTTGCGTCTTCGATTTCCATGATGTCGCATGCGAAGTGAGCACATGCAGGATATATAACACCGAGCAGCGCCATCAATAGTCTGGTTACTGCCGGGGCAGGTACTCTTGCCAGCAGTCTACCGTGATGTTCCAACTGTTTCGTCTTCACATATGTCGTGACGATGGTGCCCCAGCCATTGAGGAAGAAGAAGTGACGTTCCGCACGACCGCGTATGATATATCGAAGATCATCCATCTCTGTCCCTCTTGCGCCTCCACCAAACGTAGAGACGACGAGGTAATACAACCGTCCCACTAGCGCATCGATTTTAGCGAACCAGTTCCATAACATGCCTGCAGGATGTCAGAGCGACTCGACTGCCACAATGTTAAAGCACACTTGCCCTTCGCTGCCACCGGCTTGCCATCATCGTCTATATTGAAGAATCTTGGATCGTCCAATATATGTTCCATCAAAATGAAACGAAAACGCTCCAGACCGTTCCTTCGGTCCGTGAAAACAGAGCTACCCGTCTTAGTGACCTGAGGGTCATCAAAGAAGCAGTTCTCTCGATCCATGGGGTTCATCTTCGAATCAATGTGATTCCAAAAATCATCTAACGACAGAGAGCCGCATATCTCCCTAATGGCCGCGTGGCATTCGTCGATCATAAAGTTGATGCTAGACTTGAACCTATGCATAGACATGCCCACTCCGTCGATGCCTAGTATGGTGCGAGTCACGTCCCAATTGAAACGCGGGATGCCCGGTTCACTGAGGGCGAGTGCAGATAACAATGACATGTGTTGTTGCAATGTAGAGAACAGCGTCTGTTGGCCTTGTATCAAGTACTTACGAACTTCTTGTTTGTACGCCCTGCGTATTCAATTCGTTATCAGTGCTCGTCACCGTCGCTTGTGTTTAGCTACTTACACAAAGTCGTTGCGTTCGTACTTCATCTTGAGCCTTGCTGTCTCCACAGCCCCGCTGGCCCTCATGCACCATTGCATTTTGGACAGATTTGGAGGTATGCGACCGGCTCGACACATGTTCCCTTGATTGTCTCTGAGGTGAAACGCGACCAGGAACATAGTGAACAGTTCCTTCCATTCGTCCTCCAGAAATCCATCGCTGACAAATTTCAAAAGCGACATTATCATCTGGTGGATGCCTTCCGTGCATTCATCGTCTGTGCTGTCTTTACGGCACAATGTATCGTGGAGGTGTTCGATAGCGTCAATATGATGAGGATGGAATGCCAGCTGGACATCGACGAGCGGGTGGAAATGGTGTCTCATGAGAAAAATGATGAACCTCGCCACAAAATCTGAGTAAGTTCCAATAGTGTCGTTTTCTTGTGGCCGCTCAAACGGTGCTGGTTGTGGATCGTCAAGTGGAGACTTTGTCGCGATGTATCTCCGAGTAAGCGTTGAAAGAGAGATTAATTGAGATGCGGCACGATGATAATAACGTCGCATGTACGATTGGAGCCGTATAAACTCTTGCTCGGAATTCAGATCGACTTCGTCCGCGGTCTTGCGAAAGATCTCGATGTTCACGTTCTCGATGCAATTGTATAGCTTGCTTGCTCGTAGTACTGGGTCCATCTGACACATGCTAGGGACTGAATAAGTCTCCGGTTGTTCGTTCAGCTTCTTCGTCTCGTTCCGATCCATCATGGCTTGCATGAGCGACTGTCGATTTAGTCCTGGAGTTGGGACCACTTCTACGTACTGAAGATGCTGTTTGATGTTTCCAAGCCGGTGTAACAAAGCTTCAACACGACGACGGGGATGTGCACCGCTATGGTGGCGAGAGCAATGTTCAGTGTGACGCTTTATACTTGCGAACACTGGCGCAGGTGTAGTACATCCTGGCATGTCGCATCTCCAGCCAGACAGAACTGATACGCCTTTGATGGGGAGCACTGGCCCCGGAAGGATTTTCCTAGGCTTGTCAGCGCCGAGTGTTCTGAGTGCATTCTGCAGCTCTTCCTTGTCAGGAAATCTGAGTTTGCGTCCATGTCCGTTTGCAAGAGGATGCATGCTATTGCGATGCCCCCATACGTGCTCGTGATTGATGACGTTGTTGCATTCCAGGCAAATAACGATGTGATATTTTCCATCTACGCGAATGGACCAGGTCAGAAGCATCGACCGCGCTTCACGCTGCTGGGGCGAATCTTCGTGGATGCCTTCGTCATCTGTATCAGGATCCGGGAGGCTACTGAAGTCCTCTGTTATCTCCATATCTGACATTGTCTCGTCCTCCATTGCGTGATCCTCGTCTTCTTCCTTTACAGTCTCGACATCGCACGGCTTGTTATCCAGCTGCATTGCGTCTGTAATGTCGTCTCTTCTAGCGCCGTCGCCGTGAATAATAAGGTGTGGCGATCGAGGTGTATCCATGGGCATACGGTCCTCATCCGGGTGGTCATAGTCTTCATCGTCACTGTCTCCTACACCATCATCCACTTCTATATTATATGTGGAAGAATTTTCTGGATATGAAAGCGAAACAGGGCGATCCACGAACGGCGTATCTGGATGTCCAGCCGCGCTGTCTTCGGGATGTGGTTTCATTCGACATATCTTCCGTAGCACCCGATACGAGAGTCGAGCATGCTCCGGCCGACCGCAGGGACACGGAAGAGTTTGTGTGTTTGGATCTCGAAACGTTGTATGTTGTTCACCTGTCAATACGACTGAGTAGGTGTAATCGAGACAGGAACTATTATGTACCCTTGTAGTCGAACGTGTTGGAAATGGAATGATAATCTCTGTTATGTTCCTTCAACGACACTCCTCGAGCGATGTTGGGTCGCTTGCAATCTGGCTGCGGGCATCTAGATGGAAGACGATGGTCAGTCATACTATCGCCAAACTGTCGCAGCACGGCACGAGTTCGCTTTGCAAGCCTATAAGTGAGGATGGATTATATGCACGTTAAAGTACAAGAAATGAATCCATAGGCTCTATGTATGCGTGTTGTAGTCGAAAGTGAGAGTCATAAAATACGTACTGTTGGACCGGCCATTTCACCTTCTTGATCTTTGCCATGGTATACGCACCGCGTGGTCGAATAGGTAAGGTTCACCAAGCAAGTACAACTTGCTGGTACTTCAGAAAGGTTAGGATATAACTCGCGCTCGAGTACAACTCGAGCGACGACAATGAGGTTGTAGTAAAAGAAGCGCACAAGACGAGACGCCCTCTCCGCAAGTACGCGTGATCGTGGTACGCTCGATCGCGATCGAGATGCCCAGAACAAATGATCATCGGATCATTCACAAATATCCGAATATTTGCCTTGTGGCTTTAAGTCGGGCGCTTCCTGATTAAATCTGGCATCCGCTGTGGTCTCCCTGTCTCGCTCCTCCGCCGAATCGTTATATCTTGTAGTTAACCGCGACATGTGCTGTTCTTGTGGTAACGGTTAGATTAGTAACCTACGCGTGCAACTTCCAAGCGATCGCCTGCGTTTTGTGCTGTGACGGCACTTAAGTACCTTGTCCAGCTATAACATGTCGCTTCCCGGTCGGAGAGTCAGAACTTGCGCATGCTACGTCCTCGCTCAAACTGCATTGCTATATCATTGCTCTATGTCTCAGCCATAATCCACTGCTCCTCAACTCGCATTGTTCTCTGGGTCTCTCAGAACGGTATCATTTTGTGCGTCATTCTGCAGATTGCTCTCGCATAAGTCCTGAACCCATACGACAGCCAAGAGCGATCTTTTCATTAGCGATGAGAATCATCCTGATAAGATATTGTTGCAGGGTGGATGGGATGTTAGGCATGGCGGATGCAGGGTGACAGGCGGACGAAGGCTGTTAGTTTACTGTCGGAGGGCTGAGCAGCACAGTAGCGTATTTAATGTTGGTATGATGTCTTTGGAGGCTGTGTGTCATGTCTGTCAGGTTAGCGCAACGTTGAAAGCGAAGTCTCAACTTTTCTGTTTGTTCATCTGTGAAAACGAACGTGTTGCATGGTGGTTCGAAAAGAACGTCGACGAGTGGAGAGGTATTAGCATAGGACTAATGCAGTACCAATTTAATCTCGGAATCGCTTTGATGCATAGCGTTCCTGTTCCACATCGACTGGCCAAACCATTTTAGATACCGGTTAATATTTCGTTGACCGTGTAACGATTGAACGCACGCCAGGACTGAAAAATGTCAACGAATCCAACTGCCGCTACATCGAGTGTCATCCCATGCATTTACGACTTAACGCGTTGATGTGGTGGTGCCGACCGACTAAGAGTTATGAAAATATGCTGGCTCTGCTCGCATATGAGCTCGACGTTCCCTGATTGAGATGGAAAACATTTAGCGTCTTCAAATGATGACTCAGATAAACTGCATACATTGCGGACAAGCTTCTCGATCACCTCAGATTCTTACGAGTGTACGAGCTTTTGTATCGCAGGCTGTCTGTTCGCTGACGTCGAATATGTCTGCGTATCTAGTCGTTGTCATGTGTATTAAAGTTACTTTGAGAAATGCAATTGAGCTTGAGCGATCAACTGAAGCGATATCTCGATTGAGCCACTACAGATGGACGATAAAAGTGCATCGTGTACTTACGGTGGATCACAATATATGATGAATCCTAGATGTACCTAGTACACGAACACTGACACGACGCAATGCAACGATGCCCTAAGCATACTACATATGATCCTTTACATATTGTTGCGCGACTTGTCGGTTAGGTTATGGTATTAGATCGTCACTCTTTGCGTTTCACGAGCGCACCTTCGGGTTTGTTCTCCAATATAGCCTTGACGCGTTCACTGTAGAACGATTCGGCAACCGTGGTCAACATGTTGACGTCGTATCCTCCGTATGCCCACATGACGTTATCAGGCCATCATGACCAGGTCGTGAACTATTTGGGTTTATTATCGACACCTGTTGATGTCTTGAGACTAATACTGAATAAAAAGTCATACAGTGCTCACGGATCCAATATACCCCCATATGATGGCCACGTCCAGCGGTGTTAGAAGGGCGTCGTAAAACTCAATCAAGTTAGACGTTCTCAGAACGGCTCGACGATGAACGGATTGATACGGTCCAACGATCTGATCTCCTGGCCCACGAAGCAATCTCGAGTTATTCGTTATATCATACAGTCTGCGGCGGCAGCAGCGAGCAAGCGTTGGTTATGCTGCAGGAGAAAGTCGCGTATATGGACGTGTTGTAGATAATCATCCAGTGTTGCAGTTCAGCCGCGTCGCTTGATCAAATCATCGCCATTGAACGAGAGAGGAAAAGGCGGTGTTAGGTTTAGGTTATGGCAAACGGCTTGTGCATGAGAGTGCGAATCTCGTTATCGTGAATCTCGCTGACACAAGCAGTGGCGGTCTCTGGTTATATGACGACTCTGACACGGCTGCCCATAGTGGAATGGTAGAGGATGGATATCGCGACATGGATGTCGGACTGCGTCATCTCCGGTATAACCTCGTGTAAGATTTTCGCCGTAGGTCTCTCGAACCACGGGATGGACTCGATCTCCTCGTAGTCCACTCGCAATTTGCGATAGCATCTAGCATCGAAGCCAGACCTAGAACAGACTTGCAAGCTTCACGAAATTGTTGCATGACGACTATCGCACGACGTTTGGTCTTGTACGCTAGGCGATATCCGTAGTGACGAGTATAACGGTAGCAGAGGCTACCCCAATCCAGTACATGAGAAAGGAAGATTCGGCGATGAGAAAGTCGCCTAGTGATACATATAAGCTTCTTCACCCTCTGGTGCCATTGGTAGTGAGCGAACGGGTGTAGTGCGTAGAGGCCATCCATTTCCTGTATCAGGTTGATGGTGGAGAGGAGGGCGAACATGGGATATCCGTAATCGAGTCCTACGGTGGCGAATGCTAGCTGGAAGCAGCTATTTTGATCAAATTGCAATAGAGTTACATCAAATGGTTTCGATTCATCGATAGGGGCAGTTGTCACCTAGTCGTGTAAACTCTGTCTGAGCGAATAACGTGTCGGATGGGACGATGACGCCACGGTTGCTGTTGAGCAGGAGCGAAGTCGGAAAAGTCTGATATCTGAATCCCTCGATCAGCAACAAGAAGATTTAGTCTCTATAAATGACGTACGATATGCGGGATACTTGGCGTAAACACAGCTTATGTATTGCGCGCCAGCCCAAGCAACTGGAGACGACGAGTAACGCAAGTAGGCGGCCACGACGAGGAGGCGGTTATGCAGTGAGTCAATCGCACGATGAGTAGCGCACGCTGTGAAGACCGGAACAACCAGTCTCACGCGCAGGTTTTGATACAGACCAGATCAACGAGAAAGCATTTCGCAATTCTGCGTACAACGCATAATTGCAGACAGAGATGGTTGAGTGTAAGTGACGCGCGGCAGAGCTGCACTATCTTTATGCGTGTTGCATAAGCGCTCGTAACATTCACCAGCGCTTAGCACTCCCCGTTCGGGGAGTGTTGAACCTCTCTCCTCTCTCATCTCCTATCGGTCTCATCCTCTGCGTCTCTCCACGCTTCTGATCTCTTCTTATGGCTCTACCTCCTGCTATCTTTGCCGCCTCTATCTAGGAAATCCCGGTGCGGCTCCGGATTTACCCAGCCTGCACCTTCCCGTCTCGTGGGCGCAAAGTCAAAGGCCACAAATGACTGGGGAATACAGTAGCACAGGTGCGTACTATACGTTTTCTGCCCTTCTGCACTCGCCCGCTCTGTTTCCAGCTACCGCCCTGCGACGCGTTTCAGCCACCGCTTGGCGTTCGTCCCTCCCGACGCGTTGAGCGCGTTCTACCGAAAGTGCCATCGGCCTGCCACTTCCAACACTCTCTAACCCAGCTCAACACGCCGTCTTCAACGTCCTCGCTTAGGCCACTCGTGATAGTCATATGGATGAGAAGTGTATGGGAGGATGGTGCGAGGAGTTTCGATGGTGGGATTTGGCCTATTGGGTGAGTGCCACGTTAAAGATATCCATGCTAACGGTTTTTTCTCTTTATCAGACTGCACAAGAGAACGCACCGAGTTGTACTCGGTGTGATTTCTCCTCTTTCTTATGCATCTACCCTGTGGACATTCAAGTTGTACTCGGAATCCCACCTTCTCATCACTTCTCCTATCTGCACACACCCTTTCTGTCCATTCGTCACCACGGCCTATCGCATGCATGGAGTAAATGCAAGGTGAGTGTCCGCACTCGTTCGACCGTAAAGTATTACGGTATTATGTTCTCACATCTTTACTGCTGCGACACAAACGTGCTGTGTTCGTTCTTGTACGTTTAACGTTTTATTCTGTACTTATCACATATGCATGGGTCCATCGACAAGAATGTTACGGCCATCGCACGGCAGCACTGTAGTACAATCATTCATCATTTGAATGATCTTTGCGGCCGTGTTCTCGCCTAACTTTGCCTTTTGTGCCTCCTGTTTCGTCCTTGTCGTTTCTCTTTCTCTTTCTCTGTTTATTGTGTTAGCGAGACAGCACCACTCAATTGTATCCTTACCGTGGGCTTTCGCGATGGTTCCTGCGTCTCTCCATTGTTCTTCTTTCCTTTCTTTTGTACGCCGCTCGATCCGGCACGCACATTGCTCGCTGACGGTCCGGCTGATACTCCTAAATCCCGCAGCCGGCCAGGATTCATACTTCCTGGCCCGAACATCTTCCCCTTAACCAACGTCACCGCGCTGGTTACCTCTTCCGCATCCGTCTCCACGGCACATACCTCGCTATCTTCCATGTCGTCGTCCACTGTTAATGGTTCAAGTTAATACGCGATGTCATTAGCTGTTCAAGGAGGATATATTTTGCACCCAGTGTCGTTTCGCCATAGAAGAATGATTCATCGCGTACGTCCCACGAGTCCGGTATCTCTTCGTCTTTCTCCAGTGTTTGCTTCCATACGAAATGGTGAGGATTGTCTTCTCTGGGCACTGCGGTGTGTGAGCAAGCTATATGCGCGCCATGGCGATGTTCCCACTGTATACGGTACCGTCTCGTATGAAAACTTTGATTTTGGATCTATCGTCATGATCAGCGCTATCGTACGTCGACGAATAGACTGTGAACATACACGCTTTTACCGCTTTTCAGATTCTTACCCCAGTAGTGCACGAGAGGTTCGTCCCCTTTGTCGGGTAGTAGATCTTGGTACGCCTTCAGAACGTTGTCTTCAATGTTCTTGACAACGTGTTGGTTATCAGACATTATGGATCACGGGTACGGAGGTGTTCCAGTGGTATGAGCGCGGTTTGAAGATCAGAGAGCAGTCAGTCTTGATACATGCGCTTCGCGATCACGTGATCTGATGCGAGTTTCTATGATACGCGTTACGGACACGATGGACGTGTATCTTTTTCGAAACGGTTATAAATCTGTCCTGAACTGCTTCTTTGTCTGTTTTTGACTCTTATCACTTACGTTATAACCGTAACTAACACCCAGCTAACGATGTCTGTTTACCTCTCGAATGTGACACTTGCACGCGCCACAGTCGATCAAGCGGCCAGCGCTCTTCTGGATATCAACGAAGAGATAGTTGTAAAGGTATGTAGATCAACTCGCATATCGTGTATTCCTCAAACGATAAATCGTTCGACTTGTGTGTTAAAGTGACCTATATAACGTTCCGCCCAGATATATCAGTCTCCTAGCTGTTCACTACGGGCCCAAGCAGTGGTTGGCGATGACTTCCATGGTGCGTTGTATTCGTCTGATGTGCTCTACGTCATAGTCTCATTATAACACCAATTCTTGCGCTCCATTTTTTTTTGGATCGCTTTGCACTAGAAAGCGTATCCTCTCTGCGTTCTGACGCCATTGCGCCACTCGTCTGCCTGCATACATCCATCCAAATCTCTACTTCCAGTCGGATGCTGCCGTTGTTATGTTGATTTCTATCTGGTGACGATACTATATAAATTGACGTTGATTTAGGGTCGCTCATCGACGCGTCGACGTCAATGCGACAATAACACAACAATGTCAATACATCTCTGTTTCTAGCAGCACAAGAACTATCGCGTTTGAACGCAAACCCGACCTCTGCAACTATGATCAAATTGCATGTGTATGCATTTAATGTAAGCCTCACCAGCGATGCTCAGCCCAGTTGAATGTTGTTTGACGAGCTTTCTATAAATTGGTGAAGTTATTCCAGATGATAAGCCTACATTCGGAATATGCTTACTGGACTGATCGTCAAAGACGAATGGTAGGTCGCTCTTCTAGAAATCTTCCGCGTATCTTATGCATACCCACATGACATCCACCAGGTTCGTTACACGACGGTCTCCACCGCCCTTGTCGCTCGCAGTGGTCAGCCATCTCGCATAGGACGAGCAGTTGTCCAATGGTGCGCCGAATACGAAGTCGCTATCATCTTCGAAGTGTTTGAATACAGTATCTCGTACGCGTTTGACTTGCCATGCGATGAATGCTAGGCCTATGAACCGTGTCTGCGCCGCTTCATCTGTGCAGAGTATGCTACTATTCTTAGCCGTCTTGTGTTCAATATCGCAATCCTTCGGGCATCCGCATTGGGTGCATCGTAGCGGTCCAACTTCCTTGATCGCTCGGTACTCCACGCGAAATTGCTGCATATACTTGTTGCAATAGAGGTGCAATACTGGACATTGGATGGCGATTTTGTGGGTGGATGTGTTAGACAGATTTCTGCCGGACATTATAGGGAATTCTTGAATTCAATCGCTGAAGGTGAGGGTAAGGGTTGCCATATAAGGAAATACATTTATAGCCATCAATATTGTTTGGGATATTTGTAAAGCTGTATGCCAACTTTAAATGCTGACATTGGCTATTACCTGCTGAAGTACTTCCATTAAAAGGCGACAAAGTGCGGCATACACTATCGAGTTTCGTTGTCGCGCATTTGTTAGGCAAAACCGTTCACAGTAGTACATGGAAAACAATTAATAACAATAAATGTATACGTTAAAGTAGTAATAATTATAGGGAATTCTTGAATTCAATCGCTGAAGGTGAGGGTAAGGGTTGCTATATAAGGAAATACATTTATAGCCATCAATATTGTTTGGGATATTTGTAAAGCTATATGCCAACTTTAAATGCTGACATGGCTATTACCTGCTGAAGTACTTTCATTAAAAGGTGACAAAGTGCGGCATACACTATCGAGTTTCGTTGCCGCGCATTTGTTAGGCAAAACCGTTCACAGTAGTACATGGGAAACAATTAATAACAATAAATGTACACATTAAAGTAGTAATAATTTTAATGCAGGAAATTCTGAATAGATATGCACGAGAGAACAAGTGCAGGTTTACGGAGCGTGATGCTCAATGTCGAAGGTGTGATTTCACCATTGCACCAGTGCAATTAATTGAATTTGCCTGGCTGTTTCCTTGTTCTCCCGAATTCTCCCATTCTGAGCTGATTGATTTCTGGTTCATCTTTGTCACCATTTTGCCACATGCATCCCTGATCCACTCCTTAAATGACATATATGGACTACACTCCAGTGCTCAAGCACTTACCAGTACCAGAGTCGGCCATCCTCGCACTGGACATTGTCAGCTGTATTTAACTGCTGAACAATCATCTGTGCATCGCCAGTTACTTGAGACTGGCACTTGTTGTCACCTTACACAATTGGTTTCATTTTTGCAGTGCCGAGTATTATTGAATGAAATAGAAAGTTAGGGGTCGAAAGGTGTGAAGTGAGTCATTACTACATCGACTAAATTGAATGTCATATTTATTGGGTGGCATACAAGTACATATTATGTCATGGCATTATTATTATGTGGCTCTCCACCTCCTGCAGGTGAATTAGATTGGACTCTGGATTTGGTTGTCGCCCCCCAGTTAGGGTCACTGCATAGCAGCACATAGTGCCACAATATATTTTATTGAATAATTAGGTACTGAAGAAACACACATACTATCCAGTAGTATGCTACATTGGTGACAATATGGTCGTCCATATGAGACATATTCACTGACAAATATTTGTAGACTTTGATATGAGATTGTCAGACACCTGAATTGTATCAAGTGATTATTATGCACATTCCGCATGAGATGAAGATAAGGGCTCACAATTGATTATTATCGTATACTTAATTATACCATCTCAGTGATGTATATAAGGCACAACCGCGGCAAACACCACACGATGTAAGTGCCGCGCTCTCCTGCGACAGACATCCGATGGTAACAACATTGTGGTACAGTCTGACCAGATTCAAGTGCACGAGTTTCTGCAATGATCATCTACTAGCAATATTCTGGCTAAGAAGTGCGGCATATGCTTTCACTGGTATGTGCCGTGCCTTGCCATGTTTACCATCGGATGTCTGTCGCAGGAGAGCGCGGCACTTACATCGTGTGGTGTTTGCTGCGGTTGTGCCTTATATACATCACTATCTATATGCCAATGGCTCCAAGCCCCTTGGAGCCATGGATTTTGTTTTCAATCTATGCAATTTAATTGAGATGTTATAGGCTTGTGGACACCCTCAACAGCAAGCTCGGCATCCCATTGGTCCAGCGCAACTGTGGTGCAACTCTGATGTTGTGTTCCGATCGCTCGGCGCCGTCAGCAATCTCCTTGGTATCCTCGTGAGGTACTGTCACAGACAATGTTGTCCACCTCATCTTACACGATAGCTCTGTCTTGCGCGGCACTTGCGCAGGCTTGTTTCCCTTCTTCCCTACACTGTCGCCCGTTTCTGGACCCGGCGCAACTGTATTAAGCGTTCCCTAGTTCATTTTTTCCAACCTCTCCTTAGGCGCCCATTCTCCAGCACCTTTTCCAACACTTTGTGGCTGATCTCCGCTTGCGCCAGGTATAAGGCTGTTGCTACAGGTTATACACCATTCCAACGTTGTTCTCTGGGTATCAGCATGGCTAGAGGGTGTACGGTTGGTCGTTGGAGGTCAGACAAGGTTGGGAGCATGACTGGTGAGAGTTCTTTCATCGTTTGTATTGCTTACCAGGCTTGTTTTGTGATGTAGAAGCTGTGATACGGAGTTATACTCTGTATGACGGTACATCTGGCAGGTTTGGTTCGTCTTTTATTCATCCAGTGATCAGGATGGCAGCTCTCTATCGGACCTCGGTTTGTTCAGGTAAGTGTGGTATTCCTTCATTCTGGGACGTGCCCCTGTGGTTTTAGTAATGCGCAGGACATTATATGGCCCTATCTATATACCGGGAGCCGTTAGCCCCTAACGGCCATGCTCAGAGGGCCCTCCATAGCACATTCAATTCTTGTGCTATGCTCTTCAAAATACCCTCATCTGAAAGCCACGCTTCAAATCTCGGAGGCCCCAAAGGGGCCCCAATGCCCAGTTGAGCGGAACGGGCACTGTAAGCTTCCCAATCGGGCGGGTTTCCTCACGGTAGTGGTTTGGTCAATATTGGTCTTTTTAAGACCCTCAGTTAATTCTATCACCTATCTATATAACCCGGGCCGAATGTAACATTCGGCCTCCCTCCGTGCGCACCTCCTAGCTCCTCAAGATCATGTCCTATCCTCTTGAAAACAGTCTTATTTGAAAGCCCTGCTTCGATTCTCGGGTTCGCAAAAGGGTCGCAATCATTCGACGCAATGGATCATGCGCAAAAGCTTGCGCAATCAGGTAAGTTTTTGCATTCTGTCAACTGTGACTAGAATATTTCTAAAAACTTGAGCAGGTGCTCTAAATTCCGTTTTTTATTTGGGACCCCTAGCAATGCATATCGTCCTCATCATATCAATATTTCAAGTATTTTTACCGTGCGGTTTGTTTTCTATGCATTGTTCTTTGAGCTCGCTCGATAAGCACCCGCTTAGCGCGCAGCTCATTTTATTTTTTTCTCATCGTACATCCACTCTATCCCCTAGGCGCTGCTTGCGACAGCCAAAAATCTCCACGAACAGAGCCCTTTGCGACCCTCCAGGTCGTGTACTTAGATACGCTCTTGCTGCCAATTTCCCTCCCTGATCGGGAAGCCTCGCGCCTGTTCCCACCTCTCGCCTCTCACCTCTCGCCTCTCAATCTCGGACCTCACCCTTGCTAGCTGTGACTTCCTCGACATCATCAAGTACCCTACGCGATGCAGAAGGACGCAGAGGTCTATCTATATACCGGGTGCCGTTGACCCCCAACGGCAATGCTCAGAGGGACCTCTATAGCACACTCAATTCTTATGCTATGGTCTTCAAAATACCCTCATCTGAAAGCCACGCTTCGAATCTCGGAGGCCCCAAAGGGGCCCCAATGCCCAGTTGAGCGGAACGGGCGCTGTAGGCT